GGGCCTATCAGACAGCAGGGAAAGAGAGGAAATGGATCTCCTCTATGAAATCAATACTTGGGGTAAAACACTGCTATGACACAGTCCTCTTATGACATCACAACATACATGCTATAAAACTGTCTCTAATATTCAAATATTTATAACTCAAGTTATATAACTTTAAAATATGTTATTAATAGAGATTATCCAAAAAGTAAAAAGCAACCTACAAAATGCCAGAAATATTTGTAAATCACATCTCTGATAAGGGATTAATATCCAGAATATATAAAGAACTCCTACAACTCAACAATAAAAAAAAAATCAAACCAACAACTTAATCTCAAAATAGGCAAAGAACATGAATAGATATTTCACCAAAGAAGATATAAAATTGACAAGTAAGCATATGAAAAGTTGTTGACATCCTTCTTCATTATAGAAATACAAATCAAAACCACAATGAGATACTACTTTATAGGCAATAGAATGGCTACAATTTAAAAATAGAAACAAATAGAAAATAACGAACTTTGATGGGATGTGGAAAATTGGAATGTTTGTATATTGCTGGTGGAAATGTAAAATGATATAGCTGCTGTGGACAGATAAATAGACAATTTGTAAATGTACTACATGTTGAGCATCCGAAATCAGAAGTACAGCAATGACGTGAACCCATAGTGGAAAATTCCACATCTGCCTCATGTGATAGGTCAAAGTCAAAATGCAGACACAACAAAAATCCTGTCTAAAATTGCCTGTAGGCTCTGTGTAATAAGGTACAACTAATACACATGAATTTCACAGTTAGAATCAGATTCTATGGTCAAGATATCTCATTAAGCATACACAAATATTCCAAAAAAAAGACCCTTGAAATCAAAACATTTCAAGGGATACTCAATCATTGCAATATATTATCATTCATTATCTATTTATTCATTGTTATTATTCATTATTCAAAAAGAAATGAAGTTCTGATATATGCTACAATATGGGCAAATCTCGAAAATGTTATAAGCTAAGTAAAATAGCTAAGCCACACACAGGAAGACAAAAGTTATACAATTCCATTTATATGAGGTGCCCAGAAAAGACAAATTCATAGAAAAAGTCCATCACAGGTTATAAGCAGAGGTCACAATGGGGAGTTGCTGCTTAATGGATACAGATTTTCTGTTAAAGGTGAAGAAAAATTTTGGAAAAGGATAGTAGCGATGGATGCACACACAGTGAATCTAATTAAGGTTACTGACCTATACACCACCAAAATGTTAAAGTGGTAAATCTTATGTTACATAAGTTTTAGCACAATAAAAAATATTTTTGAAATGCACTCTGAGTAAATACTTCAGCTTAACAGCAGGAAAGTTCACAGTCTCTTAGTCAAAGCAAGTTTCAATAAAATGTTTAGCTTTACTACTAATACGTTCTATTTATAGTACATTTGCTTCTAGCTCAGGAAACAGAAAGAGGACAAAAATAAGTGTTCATTGGGTCAGAGATTTAGTGAGAACCAGGAAACTAATGGGTTTATGAGAGTCAAATCAGAGGTGAATTTTTTTAGTGTTTATACTCTGAAGGCTCATTCTTCAATGAAAGCTGATGTCACATGTCTACAAATACAGGAGCCAGTGCCCAGGAGCTTTCTTTGGCTCATATTGTGCTAATTCCTTTGGACACTAACAATGTAGCTGGAAGAAAGACACTGGGCGGAACATTCTCAGTGACATTCTCTTGGTGCCTTTTTTGCTTCCTCCCACCATTTTGTGCCCACCTGAAGGTACAATGTTCCCCAGGCAGCTCTTCGCCTGACTGACATCTACTCCTGTTCTCTTTCCTGATTGCCTTCTTTCTCATTAGAAATTACTTCAGTATGATTTGGGAATCCAGATGCCTTTTGGAAGTCAAAAGTTTTTTCCACATGACTGTTTTCACCACTGAAAATAAGGAAGACCTTTTCCTCTGGATACTCCACTGGGATTGTTAAGCACGTTACTGAAAGCAAAATAAGATCTCTGGGGTATAGACATTACCAACATTAGAAACACTCATAAAAATTCTGTTTCCTGAATTTTTCCCCTCAGTCTGAATTAGTAGGGTTTGAGATCACTTTCAATGGAGGGCAGAAAATAGTTTTTCTATTAAATTAAACATCCAAATTAATTTGATATATTCATTATTGACATAATAATTATGCCACTTTTCATTTCAAAAGGAATTAGCACAATATGAGCCATATGCTTCTATATATCAGTGCATTTCTCTTTCCACATTTTCTTTTTAGATGTGTGAAGGTAATTGTTATTATCCTAACTTTTCAAATATAGACCCTAACACCAGAGAGGATCAGTGCTGTGCTCAAATCAGAGAAGCCTCAGCACAGACTCTCACACCCCCTACCCCAAATACCCCTTACCAAGCATTCTTTATAATTAGAACAAATCACAGGGCCCTGTGCATATGGATAGGGCTGGAATGAACATTAAATATTAAATATTATTGGCTTCTTAAACTAGTATTAGCCCTATTCTTTGAAATCTTCATATTAAAAACCAACTTGGATCCAAGAAATTTCTGCTATAGGTTAAGTTTGTACCGACCCCAACAGCAAAATAACTAATACATTGATTGAAATTGTGGTCTATTCATTTGCTAGCTGAAATTCATAATTTTTTATTTTAATAAAGTTGGCATATCTGAAATAGACTTCAGATTCCTTGATAACTTCCTTAATTTTCTTACTTTCTTTTTCTTAAATACCAGTAATTTTAGAACCAATTCTGTTTGGAAGATAATTCTACTATTTACAATTTCCTGCGGTGGCAGTTGGGTGGGGAAGAGATGAATATTAAGAGGTTATGGCTACAGGTCTACATGAAGCCAAAAGATTATTCTGAGGTCTTGTTTTTTTTAGATGCATATGCAGGGAGGGAGTATGGTTTCCAAGGCACATTATGAGATGATCCACAATAAATATGAAATTCTGCCATGTCTTCCCTCTTTGTTTTATACACAATAATCCTGAAGTCCAGAGAACTTAAGTAGTTGGTATACAGTCCAAGGACAGCCATAAAAAGACAATAAGACATTTAGAATCTAGATCCACAAGCTCCTTCTAAGGAGGGGGATTCCATTAAATGAAAAATCCCTTCTGAGTTGAGCAAATAGGTATAGGAGCTGAAGACAATTGTACTGCTTCACCTAAGAAAGCATCCCCCGCTGAAGTTGCTTTGATAGGAACAGAGATGAGGGGAGAAGAGAGGCAGCCTGAGAGACCCAAACTGCTGTGAGCTCCCCACCACTCACAATTCATCAGTGGAACAGAAAATGCTGCTTAGTGTGAATTATTAGTGGGAACTGGGGAAGGAATGTGGTTTCAAGTCCAGATTAACTTCAGCCACCATTGCCAGGTGAATACAAAGGTTCACTTTCTCTGAGGACTATGAGAAAGCAAACTTTGTGGAATGGGCAGGAATAACAAGGAAGTATTGGGCTTCCGTAGTTAGTAGAATTAGGTATTCAAGACAAGTTTATGCAGTTTTTTTTCTTTAACAGGAACACCTTGCATTATTAATAAAATTATACTAGCTTGAAACATAATTAGAGCTAAATCTAGGCATTTGATTCCCAGTTCAATGCTCCTTCAGATTGTAATTTCATTTTTTAATAGACACAAGCCTTCCTGATAATTCCAGTTCCTAGATAAGGATTGCTACCTTGAAAGACAATTCAGAACCAAGAGACCTGAGCAAGGAGCTGTCAAATGTCTCCTTCTTCAATAATAATTATTTCTTCAACTTCTCAGTCTGATTTACCTGGTTACTTTTACTACTGTCTGTATATCTGATGTAGATTAGATCCGCATCTGAATCTAGAAAGCAAGTATGAATTTCAGCCTGGATGTTCAAAGAAGCCAGTAATGTTAAAGTATCAAAACTGTAGACTATCTTAGCAAATGTAGGACTGTGAATCTCCATCACCCTCTTTGATCTTAGCAAAGAAATTCATCACAGGGCTCCATTTTCAGAAAGGGACACCATGGGGTTCATGCTCTGCATGTTTCTGTCTTGAAATTTTTAAGGATTATATTTTTCTGTGAATTTGTGTTTCATAAGTGAAGTCCCATGGGACAGTGTGGAGCATATGCTAGGAATTGGAGCCTCATGCACATGTAGTTCCACCTCCAGGGGATGGGAACTCTCTCTTGTCCTATCTTCTTTTCATCCCTTCTCAATGCGGTCAGGTCCACACAGGTATACTAACTGAGCTGTGGGTGAGGTTGAGAATCCCTGAGGGTCTGCACTCACATAACCCTGCACCTGAAGAAATCAGATATTAAGCAGCAAATAAAACGAACTATGACAGATCAAGAAAGTATTTGATGCTTTTTTGAACAAAGGACCCCACATTTTTTATTTTACACTCAACCCCACAAATTATGGTATGGCCTTGACCTTTTCTGTCCCTTACTTGGAAATCTCTAATCAATGTTAATTTTAGATCCTTTACTAAATAACTACAACCTATATGGAACAAGTCTGATTTTACTAAAATGCTATTTGGCTTCAAGAATTCTAAATACTAAGCACAAAATCAGATATTTTTGATAGTTCAACAGGGGCATAAGGCCTCCAAATTAGTCTTACTAGAAGCTTTAATTAACAGCAGGAAGTTTGGATCTGTCATTTTGATTTGAAAAGTATGAAGCAAGGAATGCAAGAAATGGAATTTTTTTTTCCACTGAGGCAGAGTGTAAAAAACGTATTTCTTCACAGTGAGAATATTATCACTCAATATCTCCTATCACATCAGGGAATATTTTTAAAAAAAATTTTGTTACTTCTCTATGCTGATGTTTACCCACAGTGACAGTAGTAGATTTACCCATTATTTATCTGGTATCATAGTAAAGTGACCATAACCAGTGACAGCAATGGATTCAAAGATGAAGAGTAAGAGCGAGATTTTTCTTTCTTTTTAATTTGCATCTGCTTTACATCTTAGGCTCTTACCTTGAGTTTGGCCAAAAGAAGTTCATGATCGTGAAGAAGTTTTTTGGTTTCATCTTGACTGCTCCCAATCTCTAGAAGATTGGGCTGTGATTCAGCCAATTGAAGTTGTACCCATTTGCCACACTAAAAATAAAAATGGAATAAAATGCACTTTTAGTTCCCCTTGCTTCTTCCTCTTTACTCTTCTCCTTTTCTATTTTTATCTTTTTTAATTTCCAGTTATAATATGAAATCTCTTTCTATAGAGATAGGCCTTGCTTAAGTTGAAATGTAGCAAGCAGGTCTAATATAAATGCATGCTTTGTCATGTTTTATTCTTATAATAAATTCATCTCTCAGTGTAGATTTAATTTTTTAAATTCCCTAATGAGAAACACATACAATGAATTATGTATTACTGAATATTCCAAAGTTACAGGATAATTAACACAATTGTATTCTCACAAAACTGAACTTCCATAAAAATAGTGAAACTCCATGTGGGCAACGTAGGATGCAAACTTCACCACAATCGGACATGGGCAGTGCTATTGAGTCCACTGAGATGGACTTTCCACCCTGAATACCATCAAGTGTATTTTATATGGAGATGGTAAAAGTAAGGGAAAGGAGTTGGGGAGGGGACAGTGAAGGAACGTTCGTAGAAACATAATTCAGTTAAAAATAATACTATCCAGTATAAAGGTTTTGTTGTTGTTGTTGTTTCTCCTATGTTCATCATGCCTCTGATTCTCCTATAGATTAATTTCCTAAACATTATTCTTTATCCTGTTCTAAGAATGTTTCATTTGAAGAAAAGAAAAGTTAATTTTTTTTTTTAAATAGGAAAATTGCCTCTTTTCCTTAATTGCTGAAATTTACAGTTGCTGGAAGCCTCATTAAATCACATACAAATGATCAGTTCTCACTACTTCTGCATCAGAATTCTCTTCATCTCCACCTACTGCCTTCAGAAAGACCAAAGGGCAAGGGAGTCAGCAGAGGTCCTGTATACATGGGGGGCAGGTTTCCCCAGTACCGGCAAATAGGCCTCTGTAGGAACACTTTGCATTCTGTGCTTCTATAATGAATCATTTTGCTCAATGTCAAGTTCTGTTTTTCTGTTGCGAGTTTTCATATGACCATAAAATTCGCAGCAGTTAAACAGGACTTGTTGTTCTTGCTCTAACAAAAGGCTAGAAATGCATTCAATTAAGTCTGCTGGTGTCCTGAAAGTAACTGGCTGGTGAACACCAGCTCCTTTGCCAGGTTTCCTTTCATTACACACTGAATTCTTCTCCCTCCCTCCCTCCCTCCCTCCCTGTCTCTCTCTCTCTCTCTCTCTCTCTCTCTCTCTCTCTCTCTCTCTCTCTCTCTTGTTGTTGTTGTTGTCGTTGCTTTTGTGGTATTGTGGTACTTTTGTGAAGCCAGGGCCTTGCACATTCTAAGCAAGTGCTCTACCACTGAGTTACATGCCTAGCAAACACTGGATTCTTTAGATGATAACTTGTCTACCATCCAAGTACAGTGCTTCAGAGGTTTCACAGGCCATTTTCATAGGGAGTAAAATCATGGGTGTCTTCTTAATCCTAAAATGTCTGGTTATCTTTGCAAATGAGCAAATTGCTAGACATAAAACATGTATTTAAGCACCAAGAGGCCTCAGCTTCTGACTGTTAAAAGCAAATTTCATACCTGCTTTTTACACCTTCTGTAGCACTCCCCCAGCAATGTGACAAGGATTTAGTAGCACCGTTACCACATTAAAACCAGTATTGTATGGGGTGCAAGTCAAGCCCCTTCTAGGTGTCTCCTGTGCTCCATCATCCTCAAAACAGTGCCACCCTCTAATCTGCCTCCTCCCACCTCCCTCACATCTACTCTCAAACCCACAAGCCATGCACAGCCCTGCCAGCCTCCTCAGCTGGTAAACATGACCCTCTAGTCCAGGTGCCGTGCCTTTAAAGACCAAACTGAAAATATATGGTAGGGGTCTTTTAATTCAGCTGCTCTAGATGCTTTCTATCTAATTGAAAGGAAAGAGAAGCTCTGGAAACTGGCTGAAACTTAGTAAAAGTTTCTCTCTTAGTTGCTGATTTCAGAAAGCAGGAGTATATACTGCTCTTTTTTTATGTGCTGAGTCCTGCTGATTGCGTGCAGTGCTCTTTAGGGTTATCAGCATGCTGCAAGAAGCCCAAGTCACACAGAAAAAAAAAGAAAGTTGTTCACTTACCTTTATGACAGCTATCACGATTCTGCAGTCTCCAGCCTGCACAGCTACTGAACTGACAGTTGTTGTTGAAAACTCCACTCCAGGACTTCCTTGGCTAGACATGGTACTTTACAACCAGAGTTTATTCCTTGGGCAGCCTCTGCTCAGATGCACGTCTGCTGGTCATTTCAGAAAGGAACCACCAGGGTTACTTGGATTCATTCAGGGAAAAGAGCTCTGCTTGCACTGATTACTTTGCTGAAAGTAAAGTACAGGAGGTTAAAAATAGACAGCCCCATTGAGTTTATCATAAGAGAGGAGAGAGAGGGGAGCAATCGCAGAGAAGAGCCACACCCCTAGTATGGTAACACTAAGTGCCTGTTATTTTTTTGCCATTATCTGAAAAGTGAAGGATAGCTTTGAGCTCTTTGCCTATCAGCTGATGTTTGATAGCAAATGGAAAAAAAAAAATACATCCTGACAACCCAAATTAGTTTTGCCATTGAAACTAAACAGTTGTAACTACGGACTTTGAAGCCAGCAAGTCATTGACCTGGATATCAATCTTTTCAAAAATTTTCAAGTCTCTCATGAAAAAATAAAAATACCAAAAATGTACTTAAAAGTTCTGGTATTTGTTTTGAGGTTAAGTCACAAAATTGCTTGAAATATATTTTTAGATTAATCTGCTTTTCTAAAACTTACTGCCCTTTGCCAAATGAAGTTTATGTGGAATAGTTACATTTTCTCAGAGCCTCGGATTTCTTAGGAGCATTTTTAAAATAGTCCAACCAGCATTTATCAATAGATACCTATCATTTCAAGATTTCTTTGTGACGGTTCTGCTCCATCAAAGAGCATTTTTTTTTCAAATTATTCCTCACAATTACTTACAGAAAGCAAAACGCTTTGCTGTTACCTTTTAATTGCAGCAAGAAAAGAGTTTTTAATCTTATTTTTAAATTAAAGGCTAACACTAAGTATACTTAAAAGAAAAAGGATAGCACTGTACTGGCTTGGCTTCTATTCTTTACCCCACCCCCTGAGAAGAAAAATTATAACTGGCTTCAAATCAGAGCCCAAGATCCACAGATCAATCCTATTGCTAGAAACTCCTCATGTGTCACAGTTGTCTGTGGTATTAAGCAGCAGCTGTTGGAGTCCTTGTCAAAGAACAGCTGAAAATAACACTGAAGTTTAGGTCAAAGGTCAGATGAAAACACATCAGAGACTCCAAAGAGGCTGGAACCTTTGGAAATCTCTGGGACAAAGCCAGAATGGAGGATGTGGCAATAAACAAGTTAAATGCAACCACTCACAGTATAAAACCTTAGCCCAGTTTAAAGGCATGTTCAGGTTCAGGTCTGATGTTCACAAGTCTGAGCAGAATTGCCTTGTTTTGCTAATGTTCCCAGTAATATTCTTGAATCAAAGGGTGGGGGAATACTTTTACATAAAACTGATGTTCAGTAATTGTTTTTGTTTCCAAGAACATGTCATGGTTGCTCTGCCATCGTGTATGTGTGACCCTCGGCTTTTGCTCTCAGCATCTGCCTGCTGCTCCAGTAAAATGAAACCACACCTGGATCCCAGATCCAGTGAACAAACTTCACCTGGCCCTGAGAGCAGCAGCTGGAGCATGCTATAATGTAGAAAATACTATGAATGGTTTCATTTTATAGCAGGACTGGAGAGCCTGCAGAGAGTGAATTGCCTTGGCATACTGAAGGCTTCCACTTAAGCTATTGCATAGTTGGTCCACACAAAACCAAAACAGATTGCAACTAATTTTTAGCTAATTGTCCTGAAGAAAAAGCAAGACTTGACACCTGTGTCACAGAATATCCACACCCTAAGCTAAACTGCCAAAGGGGTATTGCTTAAGCCACTATGTACTTCGTCAACCAGAACAGCAAACAGTGACCTGCACTCAAAACCCTCCATGCACTTTGACCCAGAGTTAATCTCACTGCTAGAAACTTGTGTCACAAGTTGCATAAAGGGCCTGAGGACGGGAAAGGGACATTTCAGCAGCACACTGCAAGGACCACAGGCTAAGTAGCTCTGTCCACAAAGCCCCTCTCAAGAAAGACTGTGTAGGGGCCACAGAACACAGCAGGGAGTGTCTGAAACTGCAGGACTAGTCAGAGGAAATGGAGCGGTCAGAGCAAGAGCCTGAGCGTCTAGTTAATTCCAAGGTTTAAGGGCAAAGGGAATTAGAAATATTTAAGACTTTGTTAGAAGATTAATCCAGCTATTCAGCAACAAAGGTAGTGCCCTTTTGTGCATGTAGATGACCTTTCTTTCTGTTAATTAGATGGAGCAGGTCCAGGATGTTGCATAAAGAAAATGTTTTCTACTTTGGTGGACACGAGCAATAAAGCAAACGGTGTGGTTTCTGACTAATGTGTTTATTTTCATTAGAATTCTTGGCTTTAATTCTTTCAAAGACTCAAATCATTTTGGCTTTTCCTCTTTTCTTATTTTCTCTTCCCACTTTTTTTCTTGCTTAACTTTTTAAACCTTCCCTTTACAGAAGCCCTGTTGCTCAGACCTCTCCATCCACATCTAGTTTCCTTAGAACTCTGACCTATTTTTATTCATCTAGAACAATAATTACAGATTGCAATAGTGACTCCAGTAAGCAATTTGGAGAATGGTTAGTACAAAATATATTGTACTAAAGGAACCGGTACACCATGCTTAGATGGAAACACTGCAACTTGTTTTAATGTTAAAGTGGTAAACATTTCTTGAGTTACAGCTTATTTATACTCTGCCTCCCCTATCATCACCAAATAAGAAAAAGAAAAGAAAGAAACCAAAATAAAATAAAATGAAAACCTTACAGGCATTCTCAGACCCTTGAAGTTTATAGTGGATCTTGCAGAGGTTATTATGCGTGCTCTGTTTATCCCTCTGGGAAATGCCTGTTTTTATATAAACTAAAATATTCTCCATGGGGAATCACAAAGCTATGACTGGATTCTGTAGAGTTGTGAATAGCACATTTTTAATGAAATAATAAGAGCTAGTAGTCTGAAGATCTGTTCATGTGATTACTTTTCAGTTCTATTAACTAGTTTGCCATTCTTTTTTTGACATTTTTTTTTATTTTTAGATGTTGATGGACCTTCATTTATTTATATGTGGTACTGAGAATCGAACCCAGTGCTTCACACTTGCTAGGCAAGCACAGCAGTGCATGTAGGGTCTGTTCATTTTTTCATACAGGATCCCCTCTATTTGTTTTAACCAATATGTGTGTGTGTGTGTTTGTGTGTGTGTGTGTGTGTGTGTGTGTGTATTTGTTCCTGGGGATTGAACCCAGGGACCCCAGCATGCTGGGCAATCACTCTACCACCAAACCACATCTCCAGTCTCTAATCAGTACTAATATTGGTTAAGCTATATTCAACTTTATAAAGACAAAGTGGATAGACCTGATATAAATAATTCAAAGTCTGTTTACCCAGATTAAAAATTCAATGCAAAATTTTCTCTGCTATAATCATTAGTAGTTGTAATAATAGCTACCATGTACAGACTGATCATTATGCACCAGACTGATCATTATGTGCTTTCTACTTTTATCCCATGTAATCCACATAATAAGGCTAGAACAATCGATTTTCCTGACTTTATAAATGATGTACTTATACCCACATATCCACACCCACACAAGAATTCATTGATTTGGCCACCTCTGGTCGAGTTTTGTCTGAATTTCAAGCTGATTCATGATCTACTCCTCCCTACCTGCCTATCACATATATCACTATTCCTAGAACACAACGATCAGCCATGTACTGTACCTTAGTTCAGTCCATCCAGGAAAATCATTCCTTTCTTCCCTCCATCTAAATTCCTCCCGTCTCTTAAGACCAAGATATCAACTCTTTGTAGAAGATGAATATAGAAAGAGAACTACATTCCTCTTTCTTCAAAATTTAATTACATCTCAATATTCAATAATTATTTGCTGCTATTATAAACTTGTATTATTTTCTAGTTATTTCACTTCTATTAATATTATTTCTCCATTATATTTGAAGATCTTTATGGAGAGGAGACATGTCCTAACATTTCTGAATCTTTGCCAATCAACTCTTAGGGTTATTGTAGAGATTAAGAACTGTTTCACAGAGAGTACTTAAGAGGAGGAGCTGATTTTTAGTAAAACCACAGAACCAGACCCCAAACTGGTACTTATAAATACTGGGTGACTTTACTGAGTCACATGAATCATATACAAAAAAAAAGAGATAGTTTTAATACTATTCGTTATTATTCATGCAATCAACAGTTATTGAGCAGAGATACACATCAGGTACTTCTGCATCAGGGATAGAACAGTGAGAAAAATAGAGGCCTCTGCCCTCCAGAAGCTTTTCTCACATTTCAGTGAGAAAAGGCAGGCAATGAAATAAACAAGGTTAAAACACTAAGAGAAAAACAACTGGCAATGGCTTAAGTAGATTGAGTCACAAAAGTTATGTTTAGAATTTGCCAGAGAAATCAGAGTGTGTTGTCAAGGTGTTTGTATTGGAACACAGAGGTTAACAGGAATAATGAATGAATAGCAATTTAACAACAAAAACAGTCAAATCACACCCTATGGCCAAGACAGTATCTCAACCTCTCTGGACCTCAATTTTCTTGATGTCAGCTGAGATAATGGGAACAGTCACACCATAAAGGTGTTTTTGGGAGGATTAAATAAGATGATATTTGTAAACAAAAGAATGCTGACAGTTAAATATTACTATTTCTAAGATGACAACATCTGTTAAGGGATTTCCTAAATCTAGCAGCTGCCACAAAATTTAAAAATGAATTTTAAAAATTAAGTTGAATTAATGCACATGGCAGACAACCCGAATGGAATAATCATACTAGAAAGACATAAAATATATTTTCCTATAATCAGATATAAAATTATTCCAGGGAGACATTACTTCTTGATTGCCATCCTAACCGTTCCATTCACTCTTTACAAATATTGTATAACACTTTTCCTGATACCTCTCAGCTATTTCTTGGATGACAAGCATCTGACTTAATTGCCATCCATAAGTAAATGGAAGTTGCTCTTTCCCCATAAGCCAGCCTCCAGTTCTTACCAGCTTCCTATTCATCTAGGCAAGTGCTCATCCTCACCCATCCAGTAGGGCTACATGCCTACTATGTGTCAAATGTGTAGATGCCAGGCACTTACAAGAAATATGACAAATTCCATCTAGCCATGGAACTTGCCCTCCGCTGGTGGAGACATAACAGAAAACATACAAATAAAATGTACGTATATAT